AGACAGCATCTCACTCTGAGAGAGTGTCAAGCTCTTGGGCTCAGGCGATCCTCTTGCCTCGGCTTTTATATTTTTAGTAGAGACAGGGGTCTCACTATTGCTCAGGCTGGTCTAGAACTCCTGAGCTCAAGCAATCCACCTACCTTGGCCTCCCAGAGTGCCAGGATTACAGGCATGAGCCACTGTCCCCAGTCAGCTATACCTTACTTTTTTTTGAGACAGAGCCTCAAGCTATCCCCCTGGGTAGAGTGCTGTAGCATCATAGCTCACAGCAACCTCCAACTCCTGGGCTCAAGCGAGTCTCCTGCCTCAGCCTCCGAAGTAGCTGGGACCACAAGTGCCCACCACAACGCCCGGGTATTTTTTTTGTTGTTGCAGCCGTCATTGTTGTTTTGGCGGGCCCGAGCTGGATTCGAACCCGCTACCTCAGGTGTATGTGGCTGGCACCTTAGCCACTTGAGCCACAGGTGCCGAGCCGCTATACCTTACTTTAAAAATGCATGTTAAATTCTACCACTTCTTTCTTTATTCCTCCTTTCCTCTCTCTTTTCTTCTTTCTTTCTGAAAAGAGATCCTGCTTTTTTCCAAAAATTGCACCAAGTTAAAGCAAAGCTCTAGTTGACAAAGGTGTGTAGTGTAGCATTAGTAGTACTGCCCTCACTAGGCACTCATTGGGCAGTTGCACAACCCCAAGAAAAGGAGGTTCTGCCATTTCTTATTACCCCTACTCTACCACCTGGTACTGAGCCACCTTTATCACTTGCCAGAATGACAGCCATGACCCCCTGCCCCTACCCCACCTTGAGACTATTCTCCACACAGCAGCCAGAGTCACTCTCATAAAACCTGAGTCAAATAATTTCACTCTTTTTAAGGACTCTGGTGACCAACGCCCTTCTCATGCAGAGTAAAAGCTGAAGTCTTCACAGCGGCCTGCAGGCCCTGTGATCTGGCTCCCACTGCCTCACTGCCGCAGGCCATCCCTTTCAGGTGTTCCGTCCTCCTTGCCCCTCCCTCAACGCCAGGCTTGCTCACTGCTCCGCATGCTTGGTGGTGCCTGGTCCCTTGACTGGAATGGGAACTTCCCATTCCCATAAATCTGCTTCACTCCTTTCTCTCTTTCAAGTCTTTGCTCAAGTGTCATCTTCTCAGTGAGGGCCAGATTCGCCACCTTATTTGATATTGCAACTTGGTAACGTTCTTCCCTCTTAATATGTTCAACTTTAAAAATTTTCCATATCACTAGGAGTTTCTACAATACTGTGTACTTTACACATTTGTTGGGTCTATTGTTTACAGTCTCTCTTCCTTTTCTAGAATGTAAGCTCCACGAGGGCATGCTCTTTGTTTTGCTTACTCATAATATTTCAAGCACCTAAAATCATGCCTGATACATAGCAGGCACTCAAAAAAGTATTTTGGGGGTTGGGCATGGTGGCTCACCCTTGTAATCCTAGCACACCGGGAGGCCAAGGCAGGAGGATCCCTTGAACTCAGGAGTTTGAGACCAGCCTAAGCAACAGTGAGAACCTATCTCTACTAAAAATAGATAAACTGACCAGGCATGATGGTGGGCACCTGTAGTCCCAGCTACTTAAAATTCTGAGGCAGGAGGATTTGGTTAAACCCAGGAGTTTGAGGTTGCTTATAGGCTAGGCTGACATCATGGCTCCCCATCCAAAAAAGAAGTGCCATCTGTCTCCTGCCACCTCTAATGATGATTTTCAAAATGTCATGGTTGCTGCTTCAATTTAGCCTCCTAATCTTGGGCAACTTAACTTTTGTCCATCTGGACAAATATAGACCTATAGCATCTAGGGAAAGGGATTTGAGGAAACATAGTTTCCAGTATAGCCATTATGCTAGGCAACAATCCAGAACAAGTACCCTAGGGCATGCCAGAGGGGTCAGACAACTCATCCTGGAAGCTGGAGGAACGACCAGCAGGTAAACTTTCACCTGCAGAAGATAGGAGGTAGGAGGTAGCTTGCAGGCAAATTTCTTTTGGTTCTCTCTTTGATAGACCATTCTTGGGCATGTCTTCCATAGAGCCCATCAGAGACACTTTGTATGGCCAAGCCCTTGGCTGTGTCTTTTCAGGTTCAGGAAGCATAGGCCAGGTTGGTAACATATCACTACATATTTGTTTCCCATTCTTCTCTGTCTCATTTCTCCTTTTCTCCACTGTTGATGCCCTGGGCTTGCATCTTAGGGTAAAGCATCAGCACTTCAGCCTTCCCAAGAAACTCTAGCTAAAATAGTACCCATTAAAAAATTGCGATGGAAATGGACTGTGAGTTAGATGAATCGATGGTGGGGGCTATGATTCATGTGAGGCTCAGTTCATTTGTATGTGGTGGAATTATAGCATTAATAGTATTTTAAGAACACCATACTTTTTCTTCACCGAAAATGTCCATGAACAAGTATTTCTCTGAGACAAAAGGGATGGATCAGGAGAGCAGAGATCCTTTTAGTCAACAGATGACTTGTGACTTAAACTCTCAGCAAGAAAATACATTAATGAAAACATTGCTCTCTGGCACTTTTCTGAGTAATAACCCTGCCATATCTCAAAATGCAGTGAAAAGCCTGTTATTTGTATTTACGTATCTGTGCCAATCTGAGTTTTCAAAATATTATGATGCTTTGAGTAAAGAAACTGCCTTGATCTGTAGCTCTGTACATTCAGCCCTTGTTAATCCACATATTTCCCCAGATGGATAGGTGTAGTACCATTACATCTTACTTGCTAATTAATCAGTGAGACAGGTAGGAGACTCTCCCCAGCCCCACCCCCTTTTTTAAACCCTTTTTTTTTTTTTTGAAACAGAGTCTCACTTTGTTGCCCTCCCGTAGAGTGCTGTGGCATCATAGGTTCACAGCAACCTCAAAATATTGGGCACAAGTGATTCTCTTGCCTCAACCTCCCCAGTAGCTGGGACTAAAGGCACCTGCCACGTGTCTGGCTATTTTTAGGAGACGGATCTTGCTCTGGCTCAGGCTGGTCTTGAACTGGTGAGCTAAAGCAATCCATCCACCTAGGCCTCCCAGACTGCTAGGATTACAGGCATGAGCCACTGCACCTGGCCCTAAAACCATTTTTAAAGTAATAACACGTACATATTATAAAATAGAGTGGAAAGTGTGCAAATATTCTTAAGATAAAACATGAGGTTTAGATTGTGGTAATTCCCTCCTCTTCACCCATAGTTTATGGTTCTCTTGCTATTAGGGGTTCAGTCAACATTTTTGAGAACACCTTCAGGTTAAGACTCAGTATGCTGACTCTCATTTCCTGTCACACTTATGCATATTTTTAATATTTGGGCTTTGGCTTGTTTTCTTTCTTTAAGTGAGAAAGCCGTTTCAGTAGAGCTTCTATGAATGGAACTCAGAATTGGAATACGATCCAGTGAAGGTCAGTATCCCAGGTGTTCCCTGGAGGAGCCTATCTTCACAGGGAGTGAGTTATCATGAAGCTGCTGTAAGTCACAGGGTCCAGAATCCACTAGTGCGTGACAAGACTATAGAAGGACACTGCTGGTCAAAATGTAAGCAGTTAATCCAGAAAGTGAGATTGGAGTTTCAAGAGAAAGTGCATGTGGGAATGAATGCATATAGGTGACTGTGTTTCATATTAAATCCGTGCAGGGAACACTGAAATGCAGTCACAGCTACCTCAGTGAGTAGCAATAGCTTTAATTTTTGGAGGCACGCTCCCCTCCCCACCGCCACTCATCGATCCAGACCGCCCCCCACCCAAGCCCCCAGGGCCCACGAAAAACCCCGGCACTGTTCTATAATATTCCAGTCAGTGTTCCCAGGATTTTCCCCTCTGAAGGTGGTCATAACCATCTCGAAATAGTAATATTTCCCCAAACACCTGTTTACAGAAGAAATGTCTGTATAAATATTTAAATTACCTCCTCCTTCACAGCAAAATTGCCTTTAGGTTAGTGAACTCGCTAATGTTTTTAAGCATGAGTTTAAGGGAGTGGGTAGGGTTGAAGTGAGGGTTGACTTTGCTCAGCTTTGCCAGGGACTTAAAACAAGTGGCCCTTCCTCTCACAGAACCCAAGTCGTTTCTCTCGGCCTGAAAGTGACAATCAGGGACTGGAAGCGGGCACACGCAGCCGTGTGTACATTTATTGAACAACGGTCCCAAAAGGTCGCGCAGGGACAGAGGCTTGGCAGTGCTGCGGGGAGGCCGCCAGGCAGCAGTTCCCTTCTAATTCCGCTCTACAGCGGTGCTCCTCGCCGCTGCGCTCCGGGCCGAGCGCAGGAGCCACTCGGGGCCACCCTTTGGTGACCAGCCCGCCCACCCGCGCTGGATTGCGCAGGCGGGGGCGCTTCTAGGGCGCTCAGGCCCGCTGATGTCGGTCAGGGTTTCCACTGCGGGTGATCTCCGGACACCAGGGGTTCCCATAGAGGCGAATCCACGCTGTGGGACCCCGCGTGACTGGCGGGGCGCAGTGCGCCGGATCCCCGGCTCGCTGGGCGGTGCAGGAAGGGTAGCCCGGCAGTGTGGGCGCGCAGCGGGAACGCCGGTCCACTCCAGCCGGGAGGACCAGAGGGCTCCGGGGGCGGGAGCCCAGAGCGCCGCCCCGCCCCGCCCCGCCCGCCCGCCAGCGCGCCCCGCCCGTGGAGAGGAGGGGCTGCGGCGCGGCGGCCCACTGGAGGCGCAGCACCGCCGCCGCCACCGCTGTCTGTGCTGGGGATCGCCGCTCGGCCCAGGCGGCGCCCGGCGCTCTGCTCCTCGGCCAGCCCGCGCGCCTGTCTGCCTGCCCCGCCGGCTCCCGCCTCCCGCCGCGGCCGCCGCAGAATCTACGGCGCCGCTGCTCGCCCTTCAGGTAGGTGTCCAGGCTGCAGCAGAGGGGATGCCCGGGCGGACACCGGGTGCCGGCACCGCGGCCCGGGGGCATTGTGCGGGTCCGCCGGGCCAAGGACCCGGAGGGACGCAGGGGTGGGCGGCCGCAGCTCGAGACCCCGAAGGCACCTTTGGTCCCTGGAGGCTCTGTGGGTAGGATCACCCAGGCGCCCGGGAAGTGGGGCGGCGGTGTCAGTCCGTTCCCGCGGCTGGGTGGGAGGGGGCGTCTGTGTCACCGTCCTCCCCCCACCGCCCGCCCTCCCGCTCGGGGCCGGGGAATTCCGGCCGCCTGGCACTTGCGCCCACGTTCCCCGGCACAGCCCCGCGCCCCTTCTTCCCGCGGGCTGGCTGGGGATGGAAGCTGGGGCCGGGAGAAGAAGGACTGATGTAATTGTCAGCGGAAAATCGAACCCGCGCGGGTGAGAGCGCCCGCGCCCGCGCTGGCTGACGCCTACGCCGCACCTTTCAGGGAATCCGAGGAGCAGAGAGCAGCGGCTGGGAAGTTGTGCATTGGGTTTTATTGTGCGCGTGCACTGCGGACTGCCCTCGCGGGGCACCCCCGCTCACCCCCTGCTGGCGCCCCTGCAACCCTCCCTGCAGCCTTGGTCCACACTCCCCGCCAGGGCCGAGTCCGCCTTCCCCGGTTCAGACCGGGACAGGGTTTGCATTGCAGTCAAGACGTGCTTCCCCTGCAGCAAGCCGGGAGCTGCCCGCAGATCGTGTCGCCGGTGATGCTGGGGGAGGAGGGGATAGGCGACCTGAGGAGGAAGCCGGAAAGAAGTAATGACACCAGCAGATTTTTTTTTTTTAAAGCCTGTACTGTATCTAGACACAT